ATATATATATATATATATATATATATATATATATATATAGAGTGTGTTAAAACCCCCTCTTTTCTCTCTCATGCGAATAGCTAGTTAGCTTATCAGGCTAGAAGATCGAGCTCGATATCTCGCTCACTAGTCATCAGGATTACCACGATTCTTATATAAATGGGTTGCCAAAATGTCTTTTCTGCAGAAAGAAACTTATTTACTTGCAAGACAACTATTTATTCCCTTGCTACACAAAGATTAGTCGCTCAATTGTTTTGTTACATGTAAGAGAACAAGGTTAGGACAGAGCTGCGGCTCTAAATCCGAAAAGATCGTTTCTACACTGGAAAATCCTCAAATTCATCTTTCAACTACCAACATTATGAGTATGGAGAAAAATGATGATTTTAAGCCCTAAATATAATGTATTTTGTAACATACCGCCTACACCGTTTATTTTCAAATTCCGACAGACTTGTCAAATCTGTATTGTTTTTTGAGCTTCAAATTTCAGAATGAAGAGGCTAGCAATCTATTATGCAGGCGTCACCCTAACTGAACTCAATATAAGAAGAATTGGGCCTTAATTGTCTTATCTAAGTTTTAAATCATAGTCATTCTTTACTAGTTTTTGGAATCTCAACGTTAATTTCCATTCTTTCAAAACAGTTGTTTGTTTTCTAAACTTTGATTTTTAAAATAGCGGGGGACATCTGTCTTAATAAACTTGCACTATTTAATTTGGGTAGCTTGTAGGTATTTGAAAAAGAAGGGGTAAAATGAGCAGCATTTTTCTTTTCTATTTAATTCAATTAAGTCTGTCATGGTGGGTAATTTTGAATTTAGATTCAAATAAATGGGTAGTGGACAAAGAACATGTTGTCCTTTTTCTCTCACACACAAAACAGTCTCTCTCTAAATTAAAGGTTAGCTGAAAAGAGGACATGTGTTGTAGATAATTTTTGAAAGAATGTTTTTGTGATTGGTAAACATCACAACGTAACATATTCCGTCACCTTCATCTTCTTTTGTTTACTTCCTTAATTTGTTAGAGAGAGAGAGAGATATATATCTCCTTGTTTTAGCAAATTGGCCACTGTTTCTCTGTCTGGAATATATTGGTAAGTGGGGCGTCGCATTCAATGCCTTAAAATTCTCTCTCTCTCTCTCTCTCTCGAATATTTATTTTGCACAAAAAGGGAGAATAGAAGGAGCAGGAGCTCTTCAATTCACTTTCCATGGAAAATTGGGAGGTGTAGAGAGAGAAAATACTATTTTTCCACCTACTTGCACCTTCCCCATCTGACCACCTCTCTCTCTCTCTATCTAGACGAAATTAATTTAGGGAAATTTACGCAGATACCGTCTTTTTTTTGCGTTAATAACAAATAGCCTAAAAATAGGTCATTATACGGAAGGACAGATCTCTAATTTTTATTTGTTTTATTTTATTTATTTTTTATTTTTCTAATTTTACCTCGGGTCAGTAAATTTTCTATTAATCTAATATACATCGAATTTTTTGTATTATGCTTTGAAGATATATAATAAAAAAAAAAACACAACCATGGTTGGATGTCGAGTGTTATGTGTCCACACCCTTCTCCCCAAATGTCCAAAGACATATAAAATCCATTTACTTTTGCAAACCCACACAAAGCGAGAGAGAGAGAGAGAGAGAGAGAAATGTCCATAGCAATATAAAATCCTCTTGACTTCTTCAGACTCACACCGCAAGCAACCACAGAGAGAGAGAGAGAGATGGAAAGTCGACTGAAGCAGAGAATCTCTCGCATGTTGCAGGCGCCTTTTCAGTCATGTAGGTCTTCTGCATCTTCTTCATCATCGAGCAAGAGCAAGAAAGACCCTTTGGACATGGCCCAAAGCCCACGCTTTTACCCTTCTCGTCGCCTTTTCAAAAATGAGACCAGGCCTCTTTTTAACACAAAAGGCAGAACCAGAACCAGAACCAGAACCGCCATGGCTTCGAATCCAGTGTTCTTTAGAGCTTCTCCATTTGCTGAAAGCGAAGGAAGACTCTGCCCCCCTGTAACTCCCATCTCTCCTCCAACTTCTTACCATGAAACCAAAACCCAAAATCATAGAAAGAAGGAGTTCCAGAGAAATGATGACTTCTACATCAACAATTATAGGTGGTGCACTTCCTCTTCAGATACAGGGTGGTTCAGCAGTGAAGAAGGGGAAGAGAGAGAAAGAAGAGAGAGAGAAGAGGAAGTGGAGAGGTTGTTTTGGTCCAAGAGTTATTCGTCTGATTCCTCTGATTTACAGTTAATGAGTGGGAAGCAAAGGAGGAGGAGGAGGAGAGGAGAGAGAAAGCAAAGGAGGAAGAAGAGAGAGAATGGCTCAAAGCCTATGGTGGGTGAGGAGGTGAGAGTTGAGAAGAAAGTGAGAGAGAGTGTAGCAGTGGTGAAGAGATCGAAGGATCCATATAGTGATTTTAGGGCGTCAATGCTAGAGATGATAGTGCACAAACAAATATTTGGAGCTGAAGAACTAAAGCACCTACTACACTGCTTTCTCTCTCTGAACTCCTCTCACCACCATCATGTTATTCTCCAGGCCTTCTCAGAGATTTGCCAAGCTCTATTCTCTAACACCTCTCTTTGCACCCCTGAATCTCCTCTGCTATCTTTCTCTCTCTAACTCTTTATCTCTCTCTCTCTATCTACTTTATGTCGAAATGTTTTTCTTTGAGTACAATTTGGGTTCTTATTTTATCAGATATGTGCACTCTGTATACGTTTCTTCTTTTCATAAATTTTCCTTTGAATTTATTAGTATGTTTCAGTGAATGCAAAATAAGAAGTGGTAGAATTTCCCTGCAACATCTACCTAGAGAGAGAGAGAGAGAGAGAGAGAGAGTTGGCTTCGTCATCTACCTTGAAATGTAGGGATGAGAGCCTTTGTTTTTGACTGTGTCATGTAAGAATCTAGTGATGCAGACCTACTACTATGCGATTAGTCATTATCAGATATTCGATTTCACGTCAAAAAGCTTAGAGATAGAATTTACAGATGGTAAACAATGAGAATAGTAAACAATCAGAGAGATTTAAAAGGAGTGATATCGTGAGAGAGAGATTAAAAAGTAGGGGAAATGATGCGTGCGTGAGAGAGAGAAAGGAAATGGTTAGAGGTTGATTTTAATTTGGGGAAATGGAGAGAGGAAGCTAATTCCCTCATCTGTTTTAAAAAATGTTTAGGCTTAAAAATATTAATAATAATAAAAAAAGAAAAATAAATAAATGGAGAGAGTAAGAGAGATTTGAAAGTGTGGAAATAATTCAATAGAGAGATAAAAATGGAGAATTAGTTTTAAAGGCAACAATAATTGAAAGTCTTGTATGCTTGAGACTTGAGAGTGAAGAGAGACGACTGTGTTCGATAAATCGTCCAAATTTGGAACCGCCGAGTAAACCGGAAGCGGCCACTGGCCAATCTGGTTTAAGTGGTCCGAAGGATTATTTTAAAATTTAAAAAAAAAAAATAAAAAAAAAATATATATATATATATATATATATAAAACCTACAAAAAAATAATATATTTGTTTGTAATGTATTTTTTAATATTCTTACCATTTTGACAAAGATTTGAATGTATTTTAGCCATGAATACTTATGCTTATATTTTTAATTTTTTTTTAGATTATTTTTAAAATACATTTGGGTACCGATTGTTTAAAATCCATTTTTTTACTAACTTTTCAACTTCATTTAGATGTATTTTGTTTAATTATTCTTTAAATATGCTTTTCATATTTTTTTAAGATTTTTTTTTTAAAACTAAACACTTTTTGGCTTGCGGGAGACTGTCCGGTCTGGCCGGTTTCCAAGTCACTCAGACCGGTCTGCTTGGAGTTGTCAAACACTCCGAGACGTTGTGAAGTCCTTTTTCCTCTCTCTCACGAGGATTGCTTACCTTTTCAAGTTTTCATAGAATAGGAAAGGATATTGCTTTTTATCGAAGAATAAATGTCTGAATATATTTGTATTTGAATTTAGAATCTCGAAGAATAGACAACAATTTCCGAACACTTAGCGTCGTTTGGGTACTTGAAAATCTATTACATGACAATTTATTACCAGAAAATATGACATTTATACTATTTGGGTACACTTTATAGTACACTTTATAATAAGAAAATAGAAAGAGATTATAATAAGAAAGTGAAAAATCTTTAAAAATCTTTTCGGTTACTCTGACCTATCCAGTTTAATAAAATGTTAACATTATATAAGTGCTCATTCCCTCTCTAAGCACGTCCCTGTCTTGAACCATCTTCTTCAACCCTAATAACTCGTTTGCATAAGGTACTTCATCTCTATTTAAGCCCCTTCTTATCTATACTTTTTTCCTTTTTTTTTAATCCTCTTTAATCTCATCGATTTTTTTTTTTAACCCGTTACTCTCTCATGTGGACTTTTTCTATTCTCTCTCTCCTTAACCTATCCATTCTCTTTAGCATATCTAATCAATGAGAAATTAGACAGCACCATTATAATAAAAAATTTCACCCAACATAAGAAATTACACAGCACAATTATAATAAAAAATTTCACCAACATAATCCTCGTAAAAGATTAGCGAAAGCTAAATTGAAATAAGAAATATCTTTAGTTTTCTTCCATACCTCAAAATTTTATACTGCAATTACCAAACCTTGTAATTTATTAAGGGTGTTGTTTTTATAAGGTTGCAACCTTAAACAATCCAATTAAGGCACACCTTAAAATTTTATCATAACATGTAATTTTGTTGTAAAATATTATTGGTATTATCTTAAAATCTATTTTCATACCTAACTAGAAAATTTTAATTTCCAAAAATAGTTAAAATTAAGTAGATCTATAAATATATGAAAATCTTGAAAATGGACGGTCTAGATAATGTGTTGCATGAGGCACTATTTATGGGATTCAAAAACCTTTTTTTTATATATTCATACATCTTGATGTTGAGTTGATCTATTAGAGTGTTTTTTCAACATAAAACAACATTTGTTATAGATTTTTGAGGTGCATCTGTGATTCTACATTTTAAGGTTGCAACCTTGTATAAACTTTTCCCATACACTAATCAATCTTCTTCCCATTTTTTAACTTGTACCATAAAGATTTTAATTTCGTATTATAAATCTATTGCTTATATAAAATTATATAGATAGATATTGGAAAGACTTCTGTAATAAATAAATAAAAATAAGGCTTATCGCAATAAAAACATGTTATTCCAATCATATTATTCTAATGACTTGTAATGTTGAAACCAAAGTTTAATCATGTTAGAAGACATGTGATTCCATATAAATACCAAAGGCATGCAAAATAAGTAAAAAATTGTGTGATGATGACTTTAGAGTGGTACACACGTTATTATTGGAAAATCTTTTGGGAATGGTGATGATGTTATTATTAGAAAATATTTTTGGAATGATGTGATGATAACTTTAATTCCACATTTCAGTGGAATTTTGTGACAAAAAAAGGAAAAAATGATAGTTTATAGACAAGTAATGGTAAAATGTTGATAATGCATTTCTCATATTTTTTCTAGACATAGCCAAACAATAGCCATGTATTTCCCAGGTTGTATCTAAATACTACCCAAACAATAACCATCCATTTTTAAGTAATGCATTACATAGTAATATATTACGCCAGTAATATATTTTACAGACAATATATTTTCAGGTATCCAAACGGCCCCTTAGGTTCGGGGATAGAGCTAGATATGCTGCGCACCTTTCCTTTCTTTCTCTTTTTAGAGGGAACGTTTGGTTCGCATGAATATGATTTCTTAGAAATTATTTTCTTAGAAAATAATTAATTTATGAGGTTTGGTTTGTCACAAGAGTAAGAAATCTTTTTACCAATGAAATTAATTTCCATAAAAAGTGTCCAAAAACTAAGAAATTGGAATCATAACTATGTAGGTATAATTCTAATTTCTTTCAAAATAATCAGCGGCAGGGGTGTAAGTAAACCTGCCATCGGGCTGGGCTAGCCGGAAGCGTGGCAAAGCCCGAAATTACTTTGGCTTGGCTGGGTAAGGCCCGACCCGAAAAGGGTAAACAATCCCACCCTGCCCCCAAATATGTATTATCAAAGGCCGGCCTAGCCTAACCCAACCCGAAAAGAATATATTGGGCTGGGGCCCGATCTGGCCCTTTAAGAAGTCCCCCTTATTTATTTATTTTTTATTTCACTCTTCAAACTTTTTTTCTTTGTAGTAAGCCAAAAATATTTTTAAACAAATTTTAAAAATATTGGGTTTCTAGAGAGAGAAAGAGATTTTGGGTTTTTAGAGAGAGAAAGAGATAATGGAATTTCAGAGAGAAATAGATATTGGTTTCTAGATAGAGATAATGAATTTTAGAGAGAGATGAGAGATTGGGTTTTTAGAGAGAAAAATAGATTGATTTCTAGAGAGATAAAGAGATATTGGATTTTTAGAGAGAGAATGAGATTGATTTCTAGAGAGAGAAAAAGATCTTGGATTTTTAGAGAGAAAATGTGAGATTGAATTTCCAGAGAGAGAGGGTTTTTAGATAGAGAAAGAGAGATTGGGTTTCGAGAGAGAGAATTGGTTTTTAAAGAGAGAAAGGGAGATTGGGTTTCTAAAGAGAGAATGGGTTTTTAAAGAGAGAAAGAGAGATTGGGTTTCTAGAGAGAGTGAGTTTTTTAGAAAGGGAAAGAGAGATTGGATTTCTAGAAAGAAAATATGTTTCAGAAAAAGCAAGAGAGATTGGGTTTCTATAGAGAAAGGGATTTTAGAGAGAGATTTGGTTTCAAGAGAGATTGCTTTTTAGAGAAAGAATGCATTGTTAGAGAGAGAAATAGAAATTGAGTTTCTAGAGAGAGAATAGGCTTTTAGAGAACGAGATTTGATTTTTAAAGAGAATGCATTTTTAGAGAGAGAAAGAGATGATGGGATTTAAGATAGAGAAAGAGAGATTGAGTTTTTAGAGATAGGGTGTAGAGAGAGAAAGAGAGATTGGATTTCTAAAGTGAGAAGATGGATTTTCAGAGAGAGATAATAGTTTTTAGAGAGAGAAAGATACATTGGGTTTCTAGAGCGTGAAAAAGAATGAGTTTTTAGAAAGAGAAAAATATAATGGGTTTTTAGAGAGCGAATGAGTTTTAGAGAGAGAAATAGATATTGGATTTAGAGAGAGATGTGTTTCTAGAGAGAGAATTGGTTTATAGAGAGATATTGAGCTCCTAAATAAAAAGTGTTTTTAGAAAGAGAAATAGAGATTGATCAAAGTGAGAGAATGGGTTTTTAGAAAGAAAAAGAGAGATGGAGAGAGAATGTGTTTTAGAAAGAGAGAGAGATTGAGTTTCCAGAGAGAGAATGGGGTTTTAAAAAGAGATTGGTTTCTAGAGAGAAAATATGTTTTTAGAGAGAGAACAAGAAATGGGCTTTAAGAGAGAATGGGTTTTTAGAAGAGAAAGAGAAATTGAGTTCATAGAGAGAATCAGTATTTAGTGAGAGAAAGAGAGATTGAGTTTTTAAAGAGGAAAGAGATAATGGAATTTTAGAGGGAGAAAGAGAGATTGGATTTTTAGAGAGAATGGGTTTATAGAGAGAAAGATTGAGTTTTTAGAAAAAGAAATAGATATTGGATTTTTAGAGAGAGAATGAGATTTTAGTGAGAGAAAGATAATGGATTTTTAGAAAGGCAAGAAAGATTGGATTTCTAGATAGAGATAAGGGAAAACTTTCTATGTTCCCCCTACAATATAGAAGGTCTATCCTCTTCCTTATCCAACCGTCCATTTTTTAA